ATATGTATGAGATAGCTTGGACGTTCCACAGCTCAGGGGGAAACTGCACAGCACGTCGATGTCGCAGGTAACGGTGGCCGCGGATATAGGTTCCCTCCAGGCTGTTGGTGATGGAGAGGACGCGGTCGTCGCACTCCTCGACGATGGTGTCGAAGGTGTCTTCCAGGTCAGCTAAAGGTACAAACGGGAGCTCCATGAGCCGCTGCACGTCACGTCTGGCTCGTTCTCCGCGTTGACGTACAGCACCCAACGTCCGTCGTTGACTACCTGCAGAGCAACGAAAAATTTCCCGTGAAGGCCCTGCAGAGTGGTTGGCCAGCACGTAGAAAGCGTAGAACCGTAGAAATAATTACCTGCCGCCACAGCCACTGGTTGAAATGAAAGAGGCAGCCCTTGTGCTGGACGTGAGGGAACATAGCGCGCTGGACATTAATGGCGGGCAGCTCTAAGTCCGTCATCATGATGCGTATGCGGAACCTCTTGCCGAGTCGTGTGGCCTCCTCGGTGATGGCCTCCCAGAAAGGCCGGTACGTTGCCTCGTTCTTGCGCACGCACAGGCAGAAGACCAGGGGGACGACGTACCGTCGCGACGCCACGTCCGTGACCAGGCCATGGATCGTGTACAGTTGTCAGTTGTCCAACCAAACTGGTTCGGGACGGTCTTAAATGTCCCGTCGGAGAAGACAATCTCGCTGACAAACGGCACCTTCAGGCTCTCCTCATCCGCGAAGACGACCACACGATCAGGATTGCCTGGACCTGAGTCGAACAGCAGGAAGCGCGTCCCACGCTATGTCGTTGTGAAGAGGGAGTCGAGGATGATGTCCTGGAGGTCCTGGGGATTCCGTGGCCGGCCGAGGTTCTAGTGCTGGTTGACGACCCGACGCACGCTGTTCCTCGCGGGCACCTGGGCGAGGACCTCAGGGTCGTTGAGGGGCGCAACGGCCTGACGAAGCAACTGTGCGAACGCAAGTTGTAATCGATGCAATCGTCGCGAGTACTTACCAACCCTATCAAATCTATCACTTAAACGGAGACTACATTCAATCGGCGGGTAGTACCTGGAATGAAGGTAGTGATACTAGATGAGGATCTCGAGCTGACTACCTCTTTGCCCAAGAAATTACAGAATGACATCGATATCAAATTTGCCGCAACTAATCA